CGCTTCGGTTGGTTCAGTAGAATTGTTTGTGCCTCGCAGCACGTTAGCAGCTTGCTAACATTAGTGGTGGAGTCACTTTGGAACCACTTCGGATGGGTGTTGGACACCTCGTATGACGCAGTGGCAGGCTTTCCAAAGTGGTTCAGATAGGGGCGTAACAAGTATATTACTATTTATTCAGTCCTCAAAGTGGAAAAAAAAGGTGTAGGGTCTTTGATGCAGGCACTTGTGGGATGGTGTACTTATGCCGCAAAATAACCCACTTTTTCTATACAAATTTCCATACAAATTTACGCATGCTTGTTTTTCTAGTTGTTTTAGCCATCATGGCTCATAATTATGAGAAATGCCCAATGTACAAGACATTTCTCACAGTTACTTACAGGGCCCCTCACTGTGTAGGGGCCCCACATGCATTAAAAAATAATAGTAATTACGTGTGCCCCACGAATGTATGTGCCTGGCAACAGCCTGATTCTGTAAAACTAGCACGATTCCGTAATTATTAGATACTCAGCTTATTTAAGTGATTTGAGTATGAAGCATGGGAAGAGAGTTTCTACACAACCACCCTCTTGTTAAGAACTTATTATTAACTTTTTGGAAAATTTCCAACCAAAGATTCAGTTAAATATTTTAACTTATACTTATTTTTCTATGTTAGTGAAATCATTTTAACTAGTTATTTTTCTATATAGATTGGTGCTAAATACTAGTAATGCTACATAGCATTATTCAACTATGTGGCATGTAGATTTGTCATATGTGTTGTTTAAAAATGAGGCATTTGTTCCTAATCTATTAGATGCAACCCAAAATATTAAGTGATAGTTAATGATTTGTGTTCGAATCACACGCATATATGTCTTGTTATCTAGTTGGCCAACGTAATAGAGTTGATTGGTGGAGCCCCCTCTTCGAATATTTATGTAATCGAATGAATAATACGACAAAACGCACAATCTGCTAAACATATACGGAAAGTAATCACAATTTCATCAAAATTGAATTAAATATGGTATAACACTATACTGCAAACTATAAAGTAAATAGTCTTGCTATCGATGTTGATGAATAAACTTAAATTGTCACAACTTAAAAAAAAAAAATCAAAAAATCAAAAAATTCAAAAATCAAAAGAATATATGTGCATCTTTTTAACACTAGTGGAGGCAAAGAATATAAAGATAAGAATAGAATATGAATTCCAACTTGCATAAAATTGAAAATCAAATTTGGAATCCTTATCCATTAATCACAAAATAAATTACCACCATTCGTGCATTTTCCAAACTTGGGTTTCAGACTGTTCCTTGATTGCAGCATCACCACCTAATACATATATGCTAAATTTGAAAATCAAGGCAACATGCATAATTCATTATCTAATTAATACTAAGTTAAGAAAATTATTGTGTCCATTCCATCATCTTCCAATCATCAATATTTAAAAATGAATTTAGCTATCCGTCTAAAAAAGTAAAAAGTAAAAAGTCAAGAGATCAAATTAAAGTCAAACGGATTTTCTCATGATTTTTCTAGTTGAATTAGACGATTCGGTCCCGTTATTATAACATTGTCAATAATTTGACTTCCAATCTTCTATTTTGTAATGTTTAATTGATTTTATTGAATCACTAAATTTAAATAAATAAATAAATAAATAAATAAAGTTCTCACGTGAAATCGGACATATTGCACCAATCATGTTCAAATTTGATAATTGAATTTTGAGTAACTATTTACATATTTTTTCTACAAGAAAATAATTTATCTAAATAATGAGTCAACATTGATATTGATCACCAAATATTTAAGTATTCTTCTATTAATATGAACCCTTCTTCTTGTTCTCATTCATTTTTATTTAATGATAAATTTTTATAGTTGGATTGCGATGAGACTTTATCGCAGTAGGTGTATCTCATAATATGGTATGTTAAATTAATTTATTTAAAAGTTTAAAGTGTTCAAAGATAGACAAATAATAATAATAATAATAATAATAATAATAATAATAATAATAATAATAATAATAATAATAATAATTCTTGTATTTTCTCTTCGATAAATTCTAATTTAAACATAAAAATCGATAATTGCTAGCAGACTTTTTGACTTTTTCAGAAAGGTAATGGAAAAATCACAAAGTCCCACACTATAATTGATCACACATGCCCCCCATGACATAAATTTTCTATCACTAACACAAATTTTAAGAAGATATTCTCCTTGCCAATAATCTTAATTAAATAAATTTGAATAAAAACATATAGTTAATTAATATTTTCTAGGGTTTATGGATGTGGGAATATATTCTTTTCGCCTTTTACAAAAGGTGATTGATTCCACTTGAAGAACTTAAAAACACTCTTCTTATTAGTGAGAGTGACAACTTATGGGGGGCCAATATTCCTTAGAATTATGTTACATGTATATTAGAGTGTTTATAACGGTGTCCACCTCCCGTTACATATACATTAGGGTATCGATAACGGTATTTACCCCCCATATAGAGCGGGATCTATTTCGAATAAAATATAATTTATCCGAAATGGATCCTCCACCATGTCAGGGATGAACACCGTTATGAACACCACATTATGTACAGTTAGCATATTCATATTCCCTTAACAATTCCAATTCCTCTTTAGCAGATGAATAGGCGTGGGGTGGGCGTGACAGTTTTGAGTGGCTTTTTGTGAAAAGAAGAGAAAAATAAATTAATGGTGTTAGAAAAAGTGTATGTCCATAAAGAAGTGGGGAGCACCATTGCTCCACAATCCCATAAAGACGGTCTCTGTTTTTTAGGCCCATGCCCTTAGTGCTAAACCACATGCTAATTGGATTACAAGGGATTGAAATGAGTATGTGCTTCTTTTTTATCTTGTTTGTTTTGTGGGGGTGAAGTGAGGTGGGTGGAGATATAATAAATGACTGATGCGATTGGTAATGATTAAATGTTACGAGCATAGTTGAATCGTTATGTAATATCAAAGGAATGATGTCATATCATTTAATTTTGCTATGACAATAAGAAACATGTTTGTCGAATAAAGCTCAATAGATATTATTAAGAAGTTTATCATTCACAATAAATTGTTCCCTCTTTATTTTTGTTCCTATCACGCACTTGCTTTATGTGAGATTCTTGCAATTTGAGACTTAGCGAATAATTATAAAAAGTTTATTATTGATAAAACACTTGGAATTCGAAATCGATTATCACGTCATCCATCTATTAGAGTTTTCATGAAAATCAATTATTTGAAACATAATAAAATGTTGAGGAGAAAGTTACTCTCTTTTAAAGCTCATACACGATGTTATTGTGTAAATAATATATTTTGAGACTTGCAATGTAGTTTTTCATAAAATATTAACCATAGTTGAAAATTCAATTATTAATATCATTCTATCATTACAAGTAATGTTGTATGCTGATAAATAACATTACTCAATTAGTATTTGCAATTCCCAAAGCCCGAAGAAGGTGTTTAAATTAAGAATAATTCTATTTTATGATTCGTCCATGTGATGGTGAGACTAATATCACATAGATGATTATTATGAATCACTGTTAATCAATAACATTACTCATAATTAATTTTTGTAGTTACCCATCACTAATCCATTTATGGCTACCTAAGCATGAAAGAATGCAGAAATGACATCTCACACCATTGATAAAGACGACAGGTTCAGAGTGGGGAAAATAGCCCTTGTTTGATGCTCCGTTAAAAAGAGTTTTTTTCTTTTAGGGAAAATGAGTTTTCGAATGGTGATGTTTTAAAAAATGTACAATTAAAAAATAGGAATTTTTTTAAAATTTACATGCAAAGTGTTTTAATGTGAGAATGTGTAGTCATAAATAAATGTTTGAAAAGAAAAAATTGGTTTTTAAAGAATGGTAGACAAATATGAACTTAATTTTCTATCCTGAAAAATCTTGTAATGACAAAACACCATCATTAACTAATATCTAGCTATAAATAAAATATAAATTTTCGACAGTTTGCTACATATACATCATCACTTACAAATTGATGTACATATACATGATGCGGTGAAATATAATTAAGTTAAAATTTCTTCAACTTGATTAAAAAAAAATAAAAATTCTCCACTCTCTTCTTTACATACTGTTTATCTAAAAAAAATTCTTAACTCCTTTAGAAAAAAACATTATTCAATTTTCAATTCATTAATGTTGTAATTTTATATTGAGAATAATTGTTGTCTTCGAAATCCCAATCTTCCACATATTGATTGGAACGTGATTTAAAAAGGTTAAATGTCAATAATAAATTAAATTCACTTCCTGAAACTTAGAAAAAATAAATTTTTTTTTTTTTCAAAAAAAATTCAACTTTTAATTTTTTGGGT